GCCATTTGCTTGATATATCTTTTCCAAGCCTTTGATTTTTAGTCTTATAGTTCATTAGTCTTATATATTTAGTCTTATAGTTCATTAGTCTATTGTAGAAGAGAAATAGCCATTATTGAGGGAAATTAAAGTAAGCTAGTGTGTTTTCTCCCTTAGAAGATATGGGCATTTATATACTTTTAAATAATTTTTCTACATCTGTACATCATTTATATGTATGTGTGTGATTTACATATAGGTAGAATTTATAATCAGTATGATTTCTAGAATATCTGATGTTTTGGGATACTAAATACATATTTTATCACCTTTTGTTCTATTTAATGATAATTACCTGACACAAACCAATATCAATCCGATAAAATAAGATGTTAGCTTATACATACTTTTAGTCTGTCTTGCACGCTAACTCACAATTTTTCCTCTTCATTTTTGTTTTGCTGTAAACAGATGTAGTTTTTACCTGTATAATTTATTGTCTCAATAAAAGTAGCAAATAGTATGCATGTTCTTTAAATGAATTAATATCAGTGAGTCACAGAGCATATGTATTTTCTAATTGTTAAGGTAACTGAAGTATCATCTTCTTCCCTTACCTTAATAAAAATATGAGAAGAGTACTAAAAGCTCCTGAACATTAAAGACTTGGGTTATTTGATCCCATTCCTGGAGATTACTTGCATTCCATCCTCTGTACATTCTCTTAACCTTTATTTACTTCAATTTCTCAACAGAAATTAGCCTGAATGATAGCAAACATAATAAATTATTATAGGTTATAATGATTAATACTTTTAAAGTATATAAGGGAATATATGATTACATATTTTAAAGCCTAAACCTTACAAAATCCTGCAACACTGATGCATTCCAGATTTTCTGAAGGAAGTTTTTTTAGAAAAAAGAGCTTCTCTAAAACCTACTACAGGGAATTCTGATTGCTAAGAGGCAAAAAGTTACTAACTCAGGATACCTAATCCAATGTAAATGAATGAATTTATTACATTACCTTATTTACCCATTTGAGAATTTATTATTACTTTTTTTTTTTAACTGTACTTAATGAGATGAGAGGAGCTCTGGTAGCATAGTGCCTAAGGCACTTGACTGCTAACCAGAAGGCTGGCGGTTCAAACTCACCAGCCACTCCTCGGAAGGAAGGTTGGGCAATCCTACTGTGATACTACCTCGGAAACCCAAGGAGGGGTTGCTATGAGTCGGGGCTGACTCGACGGCATACAACAACAACAACAATGAGATGAGAGTAAGATAGTATGTACTCAGGCCATTGATATACCTGAAACCTTTGCCTTCCTGCAAGAACTACTAAAAAAACAAACTTTTTTTTTTTTCACCCTGAAGCTTTGTACTAAAAAAAATCCTTTAAAAATAAAGATAGGCCTAACTTGCTTGAAGACTCTTCTAGCCATTCTGCTGGTGGACTGGGGCCTAGAATTAAAAATGGCTGGAGGGATGCCTTTGCTGCTTTCCCTCTCAGTCCACCCTGTGTGGTCTTATAGCTATTAATGATGTTGGTTAACCATCACAGAAAACAGGCAAGTAGGAGATCTGTATTTGGAGAAAAAATAAGACAAGATATGTCTCATTATCCTAGAGCAGTGCTGATCTAAATTATCTGCTCCTAGCTTTCTCAGTTCTTTCTCCCCAGCTTCTTAGAAGGAGGGAGATTGAGAGAAAGGCAGTGAGTTTGCCCTGGTGTGTAGAGTTGCTTAGCCAGTTGTATCAGATCAGCCTAGGGCAACTCTTGAATAGGAGTGCTGGTTTATAAACTGCTTGGCAAAAGAAGGGGAGAAAAGAGAAGAAACAAGAAAAGAGACATTAAGCTAAAGCCTTCTTCCGTGAATGAATAGGCTCATAGCCTTATATCTGTGAAGGAAGACCCCAAGATTGGACTCCCAAGAGAAAGGTACACCATACCTTTAACATTGGTGGCCAGTAGATTGTTCCTCAGTCCTGATCACACACCACATCATGCCTGCACCTTGGGAGTTGGGAGGGAAGCTGTAAGTTTTTCTTTGTAAACAATTATCAGTGTTCATGAAATTCTTAAATATTTGAAACTTGTGAGTTCTTTAATATTCTATCATTTTTTCAAAAGTGTAAGTTTAATATGATAAAGCATAAAACTAAGAGAAAGTGGTTAAATCTATTTACTAACTAACTGACTCTTTTATGCTTTGGGGTAGTTTTTCACTTATTCTTCTTTTCACTTATTCTACCCTCTAGCCATCTTCGCTCTTATCTCCAGATTTCACTTTTTTTTTTTTTTTTCTACATTGAACCTAGTCATGAAAGCAGCAACTAAGTACAGGTAGGTGTTACAGGGCCCACTTTGACCCCTTCATTGTCCCTCAGAGCTGTCAGGTTCCTATATACTCCTTTTCCGTCCTAGAACATCTCATGGATCAGCTATGAAAAGGACCGTGTACACACTCCCTAATACAAAGGTAATGGGAAGGGAGAATACAAATTTATATGCTGAAATTCCTTATAAATTGTATAGGTAACCCTCCATAAAAAATTGTTTAAGCTTTGACTGTAAAGTGAAATGAATTATTGAAAGTTTTTCTACAATGATACAGACATATAATCCATCATAGAAGAGAAAAAAGCAGATTGAGTTAATTATATGCCTGAGGAGTTTTGGAGGACACTTTTTATGAGAAATTTTATCTCTGGGAGCTGTGGTGGCATATTGCCTGAGGCATTTGGGCTGCTGACTGGAAGGCTGGTGATTCACACCCACCAGCCACTCTTCAGAAGGAAGATCGGGAACTCTACTTTCATAGAGATACTGCCTCGAAAATCCAAGGAGGGGTCGCTGTGAGTTGAATCCACCCAATGGTAGTGAGTTTTTTTTTTTTTTTAAGTATCTCTGAGGAAAAGTATTAAAGAGGTTTCACAAGCCTTTTTTAAATTTTGAACTTTTTATTTATTAAAGTGTAGCATACATACAAAAAAGTGCCTGAATCCTAAGTGTATAGATGAACTAAAGTGTTACCTCTTTTGTGTAGTTAAATTCTTTCCATGAGACGAGGCTGATAATACTGAGGAAAGATATTCCTTATTTCCCATGATAGGGGAGCTAGATTGGTTGAGCTAACCTAAACCTACTGTGTCAGCTAGGTAGCTTTGAGACTGTTCACTTTGGGAATTTTAAGATCACTTTTGTTATCTCACTATTAATCTTTTCTTTTTTTTCTTTTTTTAAAAAGAAGTCTTAGCTCTTGGGTAACTGTTCTATTATTAACAGCAAATATATGTAAAGATTCTGTATGTACATCACTACCACAGACTGAATTGTGTCTCATCTGTTCCCATCCATAAGTTTGGATTTTCACAAAGCAAAGTTCATGAGTAGAGTAATACCATTGCTAGGCACATATTATTCTTCCAATGACACCATTTATCTACTGTGTTGTGTCATAGTTTTAATAAATTCTTCTTTTAAACTTATTTAATGTCCCTTGCCTTGACTCAATTTTTTTAAAAAGGTGTTATTTTTTCATGTTTTAATCTCTTCAAGGTCTTCAATAGTGCCCTAATGTGTGTAGGAGCAAGTCCATCCTCTTAATCTTTCTTTGAAGCATCTTTACATTCTGTCTTCAATCTTATTGCCCAACTTTATCTCTTACTTTATCTGCTTCTCCTTGCCTATTTTGTTTGTAGAAACTAATTTATATTAAATGGGAATATATAGGCAGTGCCTGGGTTATGAATGAAATCTATTCCTAAGTGTGTTGCTAAGTCAAATTTGTATGAACAGGTACATATAGTTCTTATTTGGCCTTACCTTAGTGCAAGAAAGGACCTCTGGTGGTGTAGTGGTTAAGGCATTTGGCTGTTAACCAATAGGTAGGTGGTTTGAACCCACCAGCTGTTCTGTGGAAGAAAGATGAGGCAGTCTGCTTATGTAAAGATTTACAGCCTTGGAAACCCACTGGGGAGTTGCTGAGTTAGAACTGACTTGAATGCATTGAGCTTGGTTTGGTTTTTTATTTAGTGTGAGAAAAATCCCCTGGTGGTGTCATTAAAACACTCAGCTACTAACTGAAAGGTTGGCATGTTGAAACTGCCAGTGACTCTGGCAGTCTGTTTCTGTAAAGATTTACAGCCTTAGAAACCCTAAAGAGCAGTTCTGCCGTGTCTTATAGGGTCACCGAATTGGAATCCTCTCCATCGCAAGTGGGTTTGATTTGGATTTTTGGTTAGTGCAAGAAAAGGCTCAGTACTTTTTCAGTGATTAGAAGCTGTGTGGGCAGCAAGTGAAGGTGATTGTAATGAAGAATTTCCTATGAATAGGGATTGGTTCAGTTGTTTTGAAGTGAAGACAAATTTACATAACATTAAAGGACATGTACAAGTAGTCCATAAGTCGGACACTTGGACGTTCATAACCTGGAGTACTTACTATGTACCTCAGGTTTAATGAGTTCTCAGTGAAAAATTCCTGGTTTTTCTTTTTTTTTTTTTTCAACTAAATATACTACATACAATTAGTCTGATCTACACATACTCCCCTTCTACCCTTCCCTTCCAGTGTACATTATTTTTTTCACATGTCTGCTATCCTTAGAATGACTTTTTCTTTACATCTGGTCAATTACCATACTTCTCTTATGGTTCAATTCAAGTCTTTTGTTCTTCATGAAGCTTTCCAGGATTAATTTGGCTAGCTAAGAGTATTTCTGTCCTCCTTAGAAATTTAACACACTTCTCCTGTACTACTTTGGCCAATAATACATACTGCCTTTATGACATCATTTTATATTGATATTTAATTATTTAATTTTCTAGCTGTTATATTTTGGTTCCCTTCTTCAAATATTAATAACTTTAGGACAAGAACTATGTTATAGATAACATCTCTCTCTCTCTCTCTCTCTTTATATATATATATATATGTATTTATGTGTATATATATAGACTATAACCATTTTATTTGTTATTAATAAAATTTGCATATTTTTTTGGAACAGCTTTACAATGAGTTACATATTTGTTTTGAAACCACAAAATCAAGTGAAGCTAATCTCCGGCAAAGTGTTGTTAAACTTCAGCATCAGCTATTTCAAATGGAACAAGAGAATGCTAAACTAAAAGAAAAACTTAAGGAATCCCAAGGAACACCTTATTCTTTACCTCAAGGAAGCAATTCAGACCACTCCCAAGAGGTGAGAAAAATTTTCTAAAATTGTTAAAACCAAATCCATTGCCATTTAATAAATTCTGAGCATAGTGACCTTAAAGGAAAAAGTAGAAGTGACCTCTAGGGTTTCCAAAAACTGTAAATGGAAAGAGATTGCCACATCTATCTTCTGCAGAGTGGTAGGTGGGTTCAAACCTTGGGTTAGCACTGAACACTGTAACTACTGTTCAAACATGGCTCATTCCCCTTGTGTAATATCAAATCAAATCATCTTTTAAAATTGACAGAATCTTCAAAAATTTAAATAAATGTGTATATATTGTAATACAGATTATGGCAGAAAATTTGGTATTGTACTATTTCATACTCTTCGTAGAAGTGAATATTATATCTGATACAGATTTATATAGAAATGCACATACAAGTATAGGGTATATGCAATAATCTGTCTTGTGGCATATTGTTTGGTTGATGCATATTTCACTTGGGTGTGGCTCTGTATTAAGGTCAGGGCCCGAGGTAGTTGGGTTGGGGTTTGGGGGCTGCTTTTTGCTTGTGGCCAGCTCTATTTTAAGGCCATTGCCTGAGCTAGGCAGGTGCAGAGGGATTAGGAACAACTAAGGGAGATGAACTTGTCTGTTATTTTGTCCTGTGGTGGCTTCTGTGTTGCTGTGAGTCTGGAGGCTATACCATTGTGTTGCAAAATGTCGGCAGGGCTACCTATGGTGGACAGATGTCAGTGGAGCTTCTGGGCTAAGACAGACTTGGAAGAAGGAAGAGGCCATCCACTTCTCAAAGAATTGGCCAGTGAAAATGTTATAAATAGCAGTGAAACACTGTCTGATATATTACTGGAAACCTTTATGAATAGCTCTGAAGCATTGTATGATACAGTGCCAGAAGATGAGCCCATCAGGTCAGAAGGCACTCAGAATTTGGGGAAGAGCTGACTCCTCAGAGTAGAGACAACAATATGGTTAGAATAAAGCTTTTGGGACCTCCACTGGCTGATGTGGCACAGCTCAAGATGAGTAGAAACAGATGCAAACATCAATTAAAAATTGGAACATGGAATGTACGAAGTATGAATCTAGGAAAATTGGAGGTTTTCAAAAATGAAGTGGAGTGCATAAAGATCAATATCCTAGGCATTAGTGAGCTGAAATGGACTAGTTTTGGCCATTTTGAAAAAGACAACCATATGCTCTTCTATGCTGGGTATGGCAAAGAGGAATGGTGTGGCATTCATCATCACAAAGAATGTTTCAAAATCTGTCCTGAAGTACAGCACTGTCAGTAATAGGATAATATCCATATGCCCACAAGGAGGACGAGTTACTACTACTATTATTCAAATTTATGCACCAACCACCAAAGCCAAAGTGGAAATTGAAGATTTCTACTGACTTCTGCAGTCTGAAATTGACCGAACATACAGTCAAGATGTGTTGATTATCACTGGTGACTGGAATGCAAAAGTTGGAAGCAAAGAAGAGTTACTGGTAGTTGGAAAATATAGTCTTGGTGATAGAAATGATGCTGGAGATTGCATGATAGAATTTTGCAAGACCAATGACTTATTCACTGCAAATGCCTTTTTTCAACAACATAAGCGATGACTGTGCAACTGGACTGCACAGATGGAATACACAGGAATCACATTGACTACATCTGTGGCAAGAGGTGATGGAGAAGTTCAGTATCTTTGGCAAAACAAGGCCAGGAGCTGATTGTGGAACAGACCATCAACTGCTCATATGCACGTTCAAGTTGAAGTTGAAAACAATGAAAAGAAGTCCACAAGAGCCAAAATATGACCTTGATAATATCCCTTCTGAATTTAGAGAACATTTAAAGAATAGATTTGATGCATTGAACCAAGAACCAGAGGAATTGTGGGATGATATCAAGAACATCATCCATGAAGAAAGTAAGAGGTCATTGAAAAGACAAGAAAGGAAGAAAAGACCAAAATGGATGTCAGAAAAG